GTAGTTGGCCAGGAAACTTGTCATTTACACTCATGTGAGAACAGAAGGTTTATTGCTAGGTCTCCATTTCCCCATTCAGGCCTGGTCTCTGGCTACAGTTCAAACAGGGAGTGCTTCGTCATCAGTATTATTAAACCTTTTGACTGTTTTTGATAGAAAGTACAGAATAAACATAGTAGATAAAGGCACATCTGATGATATGCACACAAGGGGTGCCATAAGGGACTAGATTGCCAAGTCAACCTCTTTGCTAGTAAATTATGCAACAAAAGAACCAAAACGTTTTCATTTTGTTTTAAATTTATGAGCATTAAATATACTATATGCCCCAGACTCTATATGTACCTGTAGGTTAGCCATTAATTAGCATGGCTTTGAAAGGTGCTTCAGGGTTCTCTTTTGTTTTATTATAACAGATTTAGGTGGTTGAGATTCCCCCACTCCTGCTGTTCTGGAACTCATTTGCATAGTTGATCCTGATTAAATATTTAAAGACAGAAGTTGAAGCATTTAGGGCAGAGGTGAGAGGGAAGATAAGAGTAAAAATTGGGATATGAACTGTGAGAGAGAGCAAGAGAGAGATCAAGCTGGGCTTCAGGACAAACACTCGATGGACACGTCAAGGGCCTTTAATAGCAAATGTCTGAGTTCCAAGAAGAAGTTGTGCCAGCATTCTCAAGTAAAGTATGTTGGTGGAATTCTTGCGTTCCAGGTCCATGAAGTCATATTGTGCTTTAATCTTTATTTTTTGCTGTGAATCAGGTTCACTCTTCTAATTCATACCACAGCACCGCAAATGAGATTTCCTCCACCTTGACTAATTGGAAGGGAAGAATAAATTGGTTCTTTATCTCAGTGCAAAGTACCTGAACTTATTCGTGCAACCTTCACATTAGTTTCTTTACAGCCATCTTAAGTAATTGAAACTGAGTATAGAAAAAAGTGTGGAAAACACGGGACTTTATCCTTCTCCCTCCTTCTCCCCAATGCTATTATCTCTCTGCTGAAACTTGGAAAGTACCTTTTAATTCTTTGTAATCTGGATGTATTCTCACCTGGGAAGGGAGACTGGAATGTACTCTTGCCACATAGGTCAGCAGGAGAGCACACACATTGCCTGCTGCAAATCCCAGACTCAGCTGCTGATATCTCTATTTAAAGGAGGTTCAAGGAGCAGGAACTGGGAAGAGCTTGTGCTGGAGAGTCAATTCCCAGACAGAGGAGACCAGGCTGGGCTGACACAGACTATGGGCCTTTCTCCACACTAACTGTTTACAGTGATATAGGTGTGTGTGTATGTTGTTGTTTTTTTGCATGCTGCCACATGCCATCATCCATTATTCAGTTAGTATTCTGGAATAATGTGCTAAAAGAAACCCTCCAATTTTCTTCTAGGTAAAGGTAAAGGTAAAGGGACCCCTGACCATTAGATAGATAGATAGATAGATAGATAGATAGATAGATAGATTCTTTATTGTCATTACACAAGTGCAACATTGCACAAGTGCAACGAAATTGGATGCCATCCCTTAAAAACAACAAAAGCAAAACAACAACAACAACCAAACAAACCACCTTCCAGCCACACCCACACCCACACCCATCAAACTCCCAGGTCTCCCTATCGAGTTACAGCATTCAAAAAGGCCACAGCTCTTGGATAGAAACTGTTTTTCAGTCTATTTGTCCTTGACTTGATGTTTCTATACCTCCTGCCAGAAGGCAGTAGTGCAAACAGACTGTATCCCGGGTGAGATGGATCCTGCAGGATGTTGTTTGCTTTCCTAAGGCAACGGGAACCGTACAGTTCTTCCAAAGGTGGGAGAGGGTGACCAATAATCCTTTGGGCTGTGGTTATGACCTTCTGGAGCACCTTCCTCTCCCTAGCTGTACAACTGGAGAACCAAGCACAAATACAGTATGTAAGTATGCTCTCTATGGAGCCTCGGTAGAAGGACACCAGCAGTCTCTCACTCAGATTGTTCTTTTTTAAAAGTCTGAGGAAATAAATTCTCTGCTGGGCCTTCTTCACCAGAGCAGTGGTATTTGCGCTCCAAGTCATGCCCTGATCGATAGTCACTCCCAAAAACCTGAATTCCGCCACCCTCTCCACCCGTTCCCCGTTGATATACAAGGGCTGAATGTCCGCCTTTTTTTCCCTGTAATCCACCACCAATTCCTTGGTCTTAGCCGTATTAAGAGCCAGATTGTTCTCTCCACACCAAACACAGAGCCGCTCCACCTCGTCCTGATAGGCGGACTCATCCCCTCCTGAAATGAGCCCCACCACCGTAGTATCATCAGCAAACTTGATGATTTTGTTGCTGGAGTAGATGGCTGTACAGTCATACGTATAGAGAGCATAGAGCAGGGGACTCAACACGCAACCCTGTGGTGAGCCTATGTTAAGGCTAAGGGCTGTGGACACATGTGACCCTACTCTAACCCTCTGAGAACGTTCTGACAAAAAATCCAAAACCCAGAGACAGGTGGAGTTGGAGAGTCCAATCGTCTCTAGCTTGGACACCAGTCTATGGGGGAGGATAGTGTTAAAAGCAGAGCTAAAATCCACAAACAGCAGCCTCACATAATTCCCCGGCTGCTCCAGATGGGACAGAGCAGCATGGAGAGTGGTGGTGATAGCGTCTTCTGTGGATCTATTTGCCCTGTATGCAAACTGGTAGTTGTCAAAAGTTGATGGAAGACAGGAAATAATATGAGGTCCAGTCGTGGCCGACTCTGGGGTTGCGGCACTCATCTCGCTTTATTGGCCAAAGGAGCTGGTGTACAGCTTCTGGGTCATGTGGCCAGCAAACCAGAGCAGCGCACGGAAACGCTGTTTACCTTCCCGCTGGAGCGGTACCTATTTATCTACTTGCACTTTGACGTGCTTTCAAACTGCTAGGTTGACAGGAGCAGGAACCAAGCAATGGGAGCTCACCCCGTCACGGGGATTCGAACTGCCGACCTTCTGATTGGCAAGCCCTAGGCTCAGTGGTTTAGACCACAGCGCCATCTGCATCTTCTACAACTGCCCCCTCAATCAATTGAAAGATTCAAAATGGATTCTCAATATTTTCCTTTGCACGGCATGTGCACAAGTACCACCCCAATTTCTGCATGGAGCAGCTGCGTGCTGTTTGGGAGGTGTCTGTTCTGCACCACTTCCATCGACTGGTGCCAGCTGTCTAATTGTGATCACAGATCATAGGATAGATATGGGAGTGAAAGGCAATGAGACTGATTAAAAGTCCTGCCCACAGCAGCAGTAATTGCTTTGATAGATGAAATTTCATCACACAACAGCCAGTTTTGCCATGGCTCAGGAAGACACATAGCTCCTCTTCTTATTTTCTATACACCCAAAAGTTTTCAATTACGGTAGCAGTAATTGTGCCCTCGTTGACTACAACACTGTCATAGGGTGGTATAGACACACCCAGTCCAAGATCTGTTGATAAAGTATTCAAATCCATCCATTTTATTTTGGAGGGCAATATGCCTGGAATCCCTGTCATGCAATCTCATAATTAGCTTGGTGTTTTTCACTCAGTTGCAACCTGTTAAAGAAATCTAATACCTAGCAATATTTATAAGAATTTCTACCTTTCTGCTACATTTCTGGAGAGAGTGAGTTGTTCTGGAGTTCTGAGTTGCTTCATCTTTTTATTTATTTATCTCCCTCTCTCCCTGGTCTTTTGTACTTCTTCCACCTTCCTTGTTGCTTAGTGCAGTCAGTCCAACTTGCACTCAACCACTTTTGGTACCATTCTTGGATTTATAACTTGCAGAATCCAGGATGTCTATAAATATAGATGCTTTAATTGAGATTCTTGCATTTGCAGGGGGTTGGACTAGATGACCCTCAGGGGCCCTTCTAATTCCATTGCACCTGCTTAATTGCTCTCATGGTAACTGAGATCATTTCCTGCTCTGGTTAACCCTTTCATGCATGCAAGTGAGAATCAGTAACTGTACAGTATATTACTACAAGTTGAAAATGCAAAATCCCATAGTTACTTGAATCTGTCTCTGGCACTAGTTGAAACTTGTAAGCTCCTTGAAAGATGAAAGAGAAATAAAGAAATCCTACAATGCTATGTCCATGGAAAATGTAGTATTTGTATTAATAAAGCTGGAGATTGACAAGGCTTCAGCTGAATCGAGTAGTATTACACTGTGGGAGGCAGTGGAAGACTGGCGTGCCTGGCGTGCTCTGGTCCAGGGTGTCACGAAGAGGCGGACACGACTAAACAACAACAACACACACAGTGGCTGGAGGCAGTGGCGTAGCGTGGGGGGTGCAGGGGGGGCCGGCCGCACCGGGCGCAACATCTGGGGTTAGGGCAAATCCATGGGTTAGGGGGCGCAAATCCACAGGTTAGGGGGCGCAAATCCATGGGTTAGGGGGTGCAAATTACTTGCCTTGCCCCGGATGCTGACAACCCACGCTACGCCACTGGCTGGAGGCAGCACCTTCCTTTGTATAAAAGTCTCATCACTGTAGGCAGAAGAAAGACCTGAATGGCAGGTGCTGTTTACAACTTAATGTTCATAATTTGGGCAGTATTGTTGAGTGTGTGCTTCTTTTTTTGCTTCCTCCCCATCGTGAGAGTTAAGGTCTAAATATGGTTGATGTCAGCTGGACTTAGTTTATTAAAGAAATATTTCTCCCCAGGGGAAAAAAAAATCAAACTATTAATAGCTGTCCTAAGAATGTCGTATTTTCCTATGCTCAACGGTAAAGGCACAGCATAAGAAAACATTTTGATTTCGTCTTAAAGCAAAAACCCTTCTCTCTGTACTCGCTGGTGTCTGCTGTGTTGAGATTAAGGAATTATGTTAAAACCAAGAGATCTGACTGTAGGATAGTTGGACTGTGTACCTTGCCAGCATGGGTCCTGGCCAGAGTTGCTCAGCAAGTGACCAAAGCGCTGCCTTTAGGGGTGTCAAGGAAGCAGCCCACAAACTGAGAAAGGTGGGAGAGAACGGATGCAGAGAGGGCTGGCAGGTGCTGGCAAAGCCTAGAATTGGGAGGGAAGGTGGAGGATGGCACAGTTTCTCAGCATAGGAAATACTTCCCGACAAGAGGAACTGTTGTAGGTCAAACCACGCAGGAGGAAGGGGAAACGGACGGCTCCCCCAAAGTCCGCTCCCCTTTTTCGGTGGGCCAGGCGTCCGGGACCCTGCAGTGATCCGGCGCGGGGAGTTGGCGACCCCCTCCTGCCTCCTGGCAGGAGGCTAATCTGCGCCGGTAGGGGGCGTGACCGTGGGAAATTTAACTTTGGCGCGGCCGCAGGGCGACGCTGGATCCTTGCCCTTCATCGCTGGATCCTGCGCGGTGATCTTCTCTTGCAACCTTTGGACTGAGCCTTTTGGCTTTGCGTCGGATCCAGCAGCCCGGAGTTCCCTGCCTGCGCAGCCTCTCCCCTCCGTCTCCCGCTTGGAGCATCCACGCGCGTCGAGTCCAGCCTACAATCCAGGCAGGAGCGCGCAGCTGAAGTTCCCACGGTGGGTGAGTGACCCTCAGTGACCCGCGGGCTGGCGAGGTGTCCTTGTGCCGGCCGGGTTGGGTCCTGGGCTTGAAAAGGACGACTTCAGAGGCGCCTTCTTCGTGCGCCCGGGCGGCTCCCCGGCCCCTTCCTCCGCGCGTCCTCCGTCCCACCCCTGCCCTGGGGTCGCGTTTCTTTTGCTGCTTGGCGGTGCCTCTCTGCATTGGTTCCAGTTACAGATAGGTAGCCGTGTTGGTCTGCCATAGTCAAAAAAAATTCCTTCCAGTAGCACCTTAAAGACCAACTAAGTTGGTTCTTGGTATGAGCTTTCGTGTGCATGTGTATCTGAAGAAGTGTGCATGCACACGAAAGCTCATACCAAGAACTAACTTAGTTGGTCTTTAAGGTGCTACTGGAAGGAATTTTTTTTGTTTCTGCATTGGGTCCGGGAGAACCTGCGATGCTCGGCGCGCGCGACTGCGCTTGCTGTTTTGCGCCTCCTTCTTCCTCGCATCGCTTCTCCTCGCGCCGGCTTGCTGCACCTGTGTGCCTGAGCTTAAGGTCCCGGTTTTCTCTCTGCCAGCCGACTGCCTTGTGGTTGTGCGTGTGCGCTTCAGAAGGTCCGGGCAACTTGCTCATCTTGGCCCTTGCCTCCTCCGCGCCGAGTGTTTGAAGGCAGTTTGCCCCCCCCCCCCGCGCCGCACCTCTTTTTGCGCGCGCCTGTGTCAAGAGTTTAGAGTGCCATTTCGCTCCACGTTTGTTTGCGCTTTGGGCGAGGCTTGATCCCGGGTCGGGGGCTCGGTTCATTCTTCCTCGATCTCCTTCCTCTCCACCATTCTGTTGAACCACTTGGTGGGAGCTAGAGCCCCCCCCCGGATCCCCCACGTGCCAGATCCCCTGGCCTTCTGGCACATCAACACCCCCTTTCCGCCCCTCCCAGAGTCTTGGCTTGGCTGGCGAGTGCTGATTTTATTGGGGGCCAAGGGATTTTAACTTGTGGCTTAGCTAGGTAGTTAGCAGACAGAGAAGCAGATAACTAATATTTTAATACGCTACATAAATAGTTAAAGGCCGTGCGGAGGAGCGAGTGATCCAACCAATTCATTGTACTGATAGTGGTGGAAAGGTGCTGAGCGCTATTTGTGTCTGGCTGCTGTTGTGGGGACCTTGCGATTCCTTGTGTTTGGTGTCGGCATATAGGGGGGGGGTCAGTTTTTGGTAGAGGAATTGCTTAGAATCGATTCACTTTAGAGCTAGCCCCCCCCCAGCTATTTAGTCAGGCAAAGAGACAATTACACAGGTGTCATGTTGAGGTTTATTTCATTGATAAATCAGAGGATCCTGAGGCTGAACTGTCTCTGTGTTTTTTTGTATAGAGGTTGTTCCCAGTTAGTGTAGTCAATACTGAGCTATTTTCATCTGGTGGTTGCTCCCAGTCGGTTTGGTGGCTGCTGCCAGTTAGTGTAGGCAAAAGGGAACTGCACTCATTTGGACTGTGTACATCGCCAGTATTGGTACTCGCCAGACTTGGAGAGCCAGTGTGGTGTAGTGGTTAAGAGCGGTAGACTCGTAATCTGGTGAACCGGGTTCGATTCCCCACTCCTCCACATGCAGCTGCTGGGTGACCTTGGGCCAGTCACACTTCTCTGAAGTCTCTCAGCCCCACTCACCTCACAGAGTGTTTGTTGTGGGGGAGGAAGGGAAAGGAGAATGTTGGCCGCTTTGAGACTCCTTCGGGTAGTGATAAAGCGGGATATCAAATCCAAACTCCTCTTCTTCTTCTTCAGCCAGGCCCACAATCTGAGAAAGGTGGCCCAGAATGGCTGCAGAAAGGGTTGGTATACACTGGCAAAGCCTATAATTGGCAGGGAAGGTGGGGGATGGCACAGTTTCTCAGCATAGGAAATACGCCCTGACAAGGGGAACTGTTGTGGGTCAAACCATGCAGGAGAGAGGGGAAACGGACGGCTTCCCCAAACTGCAACTGCTTCACCTGCCCCTTCCTTCCCTACATTCCCCTATTTTGTTGGCAACTAACAAAACAACAATAATCCGGGACTTGATCCTGGAAGAAGGAGACCTGATTATAAGAGACAAATTTGGATGAGTCAGAGAGTCCAGCTCTGGTCCAGCTGGTTTCTCTGTGCAGCGTTCATGCCAGAGGTGGCCTGCCCTATTTCCCTGCTGATGAACAGGAAGGGGCCCTACCAAAGCCTTGCTTACTAGGGTTGTGTGGCAGAAACAGCTTACGGGTTCTGGCTAAATCTTCTGGGGCTCTCACAGGACCTCTTCAGAAGCTAGAAGCCACCACTGCTTCCCCCACTTCTGCGGTAGCAGTGGCGGCCCCCATGGCAGCCCCCCTTGGATTCCGCTGCCTGAGTCCACCTCATGGATGGTCCAGCTCCGAACAAGGCATGACTGAAGTGCAGCTGGGAGAGGAGGAGAAGTTTTGTTTTTACGGAAGCTAGGAAGAGAAATGGGCTTTCTGTCACAGTCAACATTTACTGAGTGTCTGATCATAAGGTTGTGGTCCAGGGATATCCTACTGCCCTGCTGACTGCTTGACCAAGGTAGTCTGGGGGTTGGGATCTCCTCAGTTTGGAGGTGACTTCCGTGTCAATGCTGAGGTCTCTCCAATCAACAGCTGGAAGGTGTGGTAAATACAGTGAGGGGGGAAGGTGTTTGATCCCCTGCTAAATTTGCCCGCTTGCCTTGTGACGAAGAAATGACCAGTCCATAATTTTAATGGTAGGTTTATTGTAGCTGTGAGAGACAGAATGACAACAAGAGCCCCCCCCTAGCTTTTCAGACTTTTTAATCTATATGGATGGCATGGAGAAAGCAGATAAAGAAATGTTTTTCTCCCTCTCATAATAAAACTTGTGGATATCCCAAGAAATAAAGTAATTCTTCAAGCAGTGCAGTGATGGCCAACGTGGATGGCTTTCGAACAGGATAGGAAAAATTAATGGAAGAGAGAACTATGGATGGCGGTAGAAATGCTTCCAAACACCATTTGCTGTGGACCCCAGGAGGAGAGCGTGCTTGTGTGCTTGGATCCTGCTCAAAGGATTCCCTCAGGCAGCTGGTTGTCCCCTGCGAGAACAGCATGCTGCATTGATGCTCCACTGGCCTGATCTAGCAGGTTCTTCTTATCTTCCTGTGTTAACTGAGGCAGCTCACATGATCTCCCCCATGGCAACACGTTGTACATGAAGATAACAGTGCCTGCATGCACACTGAGACTGATCTTAGGGTGACATGGATGTCAGTGTCTATACCCAGAGGGTGGTGGCATCCACAATGGCATCTGATAAGCCATGCATAACTGTCTGGCTTCCGATATGAGACTTTTCAGAAGTGTGAGAATCTTTCTCCTTTTCCCCCCTCTCTAGCCAAGCAAAGAGCCTCTCTTCACTGATGTTCTGTTTAAGAGGAAAACGTTGGTGGTGTGAGTCACAGGTGCAGGGAAGCCTAGTGTGGAGGAAGACGTTCGTGGCCAACAGTTTCACTACGTCTTCTGTTAGATCAACTTCCGTAGTAGAAACTCTTGGCCTGGTTTTACTTCCAGACTTGCTGGCACCCAGTCACTCAAGTTCACCAGCAGAGAGAATGATAAATAAAGATGACAGCAAAGGGAATTATTGTCTGTATCTCACATTCAGTTAAAATCTTTATTTCAGCATTCGCTTGTTCAATTTAAAGGCATTTCTATTAGAGGGTTAGAAAATGTAAGTCGCCAAGGCTTTCCCCAAAACACCTGAAGTATTATGATTCTGCCTGTGGTGAACCATAAAGCAACACTAAAGGTTTTTCTTGGTGGGATGGTAGTTGTACTCTGATGCTGTTTTTCCACCAGGGAAAGCTGAAGAAGTGTGGAAATACTGAGCTCAGTCCCAGACAATTTTTCTTAGTATGGGGTGGGGTTTGAGCCTTTGCCTTGTGTCGCTTGCCAAGGATTGGCTGACTGAGGTTTTAATCATGACTGAAAACTAGACTCGTTTCATACAGAGATGTCTCATTTGGCCAAAGTGACACATGCCTTAGCTACATCCTGTTTGGATTACCGTAATGTGCTCTGCGTGGGGCTGCCAGAAACTTCAGCTAGCTCAAAGAGCTGTGGCCAGATTGTTGACTGGGGCTGGTTATAGGGAGCAGACGACTCCCTTGTTACAGCAGCTGCACTGGCCTATTGGTCTGTTTCCAGGCACAATTCAAAGTGCTGATTATGACCTATAAAGCCCTAAATGGCTTAGGTCCAAGCTATCTGAAAGACTGTATTCCCTCATATTCCTTCCTGCCTTCTGAGATCTTTGATGATGATGATAATTAATATTATTATTATTATTATTATTATTATTATTTATTATTTATTATTATTATTATTATTTATACCCCGCCCATCTGGCTGAGTCTCCCCAGCCACTCTGGGCGGCTTCCAAGTGTTAAAAACAATACAGCATTAAATATTAAAAACTTCCCTAAACAGGGATGTCTTTTAAAGAGAAGATAGCTGCTTATTTTCTTCACATCTGAAGGGAGGGTGTTCCACAGGGCGGGCGCCACCACTGAGAAGGCCCTCTGCCTGGTTCCCTGTAGCTTTGCTTCTCGCACTGAGGGAACTGCCAGAAACTCTTCAGGGTTTTGTTTGCACCATTTTGTTACATTTAGATGAATTCACAAGTGGATCTTTTTAAAGACCACCTTTTGAAAGTAGAAGGCACTTGTTAAGTAATTAAAGCAGGACTGCAATAAGTTAGATTTTAAAATGTAGTTGGCTAAAACTGTGCTCCCAATTAGTCAGGCAGCCAGCTTAATTTTTGTATAATTATTTTACTGCACATTATCATATCCTTTTTAGCCCACCAGAGGTCAGAAATAGGGAGGATTTGTGCAGAAGAAGAGCACTTTTTGTTTTTTGTTTCTGAAGTCTTCACTGGAAGAAGTCTTTTACATGTGAGCCTTCCGTATGTGTTGAGTATAAAGCTGCTGACAGGTGGAAGAACTTGAGCGGAAACAGGCT